GTAGCAGCGCTTTGCTGAACTAATAGTCGTAACGAGGAACATGCTCAAATGAGAGTTCAGAGCCAATATTTGATGGCTTTCTGATCAAATATGCCACAACGTTCCCACCAAATAAACAGTTATTAAATGTTATATAATATTTGATCACGTATCATAAAATGAGAGAGATCCTGAGTCAACAGCGAATTGTATGTGAGCAATAAAATCTCGACAATAGTTCATGTAACTTAAAACACGTAATGTGTGTAACTGAACAAATACTAGAATGAGTTTTCCATGTGGGATTAATAAAATGAGAGTTGGGAGGGGTCAATCTTGTAATTGCTGTAAATACTTGTTTACAATTTACTGAAAACCCTGTCTCAGTTACTTGTGTGATTAGCATATTCATCACTACCGTCTCTCACTGTGGTAACTTTATCCATCGGCTCCTACAGTTCTGTGTTTTATCATACAATCTTTAACTCTCAACTGTTCGATGTATCTCCGTTGTTTCTACTTTCCCATCCTCTGTACTTTGAAAGCCAATAGACGCAGTTCCAATCATAAAGGGACGGTGGGTAGCCTTGTGGTTAAAGCGTTCGCTCGTCACGCCGAACACCCGGGTTCAATTCCCACATGGGTACAATATGTGAAGCCCATTTCTGGTGTCCCCCGCCGTGATATTGCTGGAATATTGCTAAAAGCGATGTAAAACTAATCTCACTCGCTCCATCATAAAGTTACATATAACATACCATCAGCTCAAACACCTGGCGTCTACTCTTCTCAGTTGCCCAGATATGTCAAATTGTGTATACATTTCACAGAGAGATACATGCTTCGTCAAACAATGTTTTCCTACCAAGCTTTAAAAATCAAAGTAAGATAAGGTCATCATCATTCATCGTCGTCGCCATCGTCATCATTTATTCAATCCGACTCTATGGCCATCTTGGAGTGGTGTTTTCTATTTATTGTCTATCTTGGTTTGCCACCTATCACACGCCCACTACCCGTGCCACAATATTGCTGACAAACCAAGATGTAACCGATATGGTGGCCCAAGGAAAACATGCATCTCACTCACTCTTCCGTGACTACAAAATCAATACAGCGTGAACTCACAATGGCCTGCCTCTGACTAAACAAAACAGCATACTGGACCCCAACGTTTGGCAAATCTGGCATCAAGTTATTCACTAAAGCAGAGCAATTGGAATCAATTCGTGACAGACATGACGCCAACCGTACTACACGAGTGAGCGTCAATTCCTTGTCGTTCAACACTGTTTCTCGCTCTCTCTACCTTTCTCTCTGTCTGTCTCTCTGTCTGTCTGTCTCTCTTCCTTTCTTTCTCCCTCTTTCACACACACACAAACTCATTCACGCACATTTATACACACACTCACTATCACACAAAACACACACATGCAAATACTAATTCACTCAAACACACACAAGCACTCAGAATCATCACACATACTTATACGCACGGCCACAAACACACTCATCCGTCCATCCACCAATCCATCTATCCATCAATCAATCCATCCAACCACCCACCCATCCACCAATCAGTCCATCCAACCACCCACCCATCCACCAATCAGTCCATCCTACCACCCACCCATCCACCACCCATCCATCTATCCATACATCCATCCATCCGCCAACCCATCCATCCATCTAGCCATCTAGCCATCCATCCATCTGTGTATATACTCCATCTGACATGTAATGTCACGAGGAACGTGCAACCAAGTACACTTTATTGAATGTATTTCTGAACATAACTTAAGACCTTTTTATTTCACATTACGTCAACTTAGCTCCACCTAAACAGGATTAATGTCCTCCAGAACTATGTAAGAGTTGGAAATCGCAAGTCAATATCAGCCGGCATGGCTTCCCTCAGCGGGTTTGAATTTACTTAATTTTAAACAAATCCAAATAAGACGGTAATAATGTTACTTATGGAATCCCACCAGACCGTGTTGATTGTGAGTACGAATATTTGCACAAACATTCACTTCATTACCTAATAATCTTCCAAATGTTACATTTGAAGCAATAAAAAACCTAACTTTGCTATTGCGCCACACTGTTATGGTATGTCACGTGTACTCGGTTAAGACCCACCCATGTGGATGAGTCTACCCATGTCCAAAGACTGCTGTAAATGTCCGGCTGTTGAATCCATTCACTGTAATTGGGTAACAGAGTCCAGTATGCAAGTCCTACTTGCACAGAACGTCATCTCAAAATGTCTCATTCAACGCATACTTATTTAAAGCTAATCTTGTCAGTTCTACAGCATCTAGCTTTCATTTGTCCAGTTTATGTATGGCCCACCTACATCTACAGCAGATAATAAATCTGACTGTTAACCGTGTGCACGTGTCTATTATATACTGAAAGGCAAACGGGACGTCGTAATATGGGAAGTGACAGTTAAGCATCAATGGAGTATTTGAACCTAATTCTTTTTAAAATATATACCGGAAGTTAAGTTTGAGGAAAACATGAATCGTGGTCGTATAGCCTGTTTTGCCCAGTAAAGTATGGTTTGAGATTGAGGTTAGAAATGTTTTTGTTTGTGGAAAGGGAAGACTCCGCACAAACACGACATTGAAATCGAGATGCACGTGCATCATGCATGCATTCAGACATAAATTGCCGTCATGAATGGCAAACGTTCGCTTGTTTTCTGTACACAGCAGCTATGACTAGGTTAACGAGAGATCAACGATATTGCGACGTTTCTTTTGCCTTTCAGTATATATGGTCTATCATTTCTTATTTATCAATCATTCACTTCATTCTTTGGTTGCCGGGTGCCTTGGTTTATTGGTAAGAGAGGAAATGGGTGCATTGTTTATGGGTAAGAGGAAATGGGTGCCTTTAATTATGGGTGAGTGAGGTAGTGTGTTTTAATGGGTTTATGGCTTTATGAGTGAATCAATTTGGATTGGTTGATGAGGAAGTGCTTGTATGGGTTTATGTGTGATTGGGTGGTGGACGGAAGGGAGTTCGGATGGGTTTATGCATGGATGAATGTCTTTATGGGTTTATGGGGTGAGGGTTCCACAGAAGTTGTAAACATCTGGCTTACCTTCCACAACATGCTGGCACGCACTTTTATACGAGGTGCTATCAAAACGGTTTGAGACTAAAATACTTCTGATAGGTGCATGATGAAAATAACTGTATGATATTGAAGAATGGTTTATACAATTTATATAAACGTAATATTGACATGCACATGTCGCTAGTTTCCGGTCAGGTGACATTTAATCGCATGTACCCCGATTAAAACGGCAGAAATGGATAAGCTTGAGTACAGAGCAGTCATAAAGTTTTTGGTCATCGAGGGCCACCCGGCGAAACACATTGAAGAGCGATTGACAGCAGTACGAGTACCCCATGGGTACCGGAAACTAGCGACACGTGACCGGAAACTTGCGACATGTGCATGTCAATATCACGTTTATGTGAATGATATAAACCATTCGTCTATATCATGCAGCTATTTTTATCATGCACATATCAGAAGTATTTTAGGCTCAAAACCTTTTGATAGCCCCTCGTAACTAAAACAAAGTTCAAAGCAACGTGAAGCCCAACTCTCTCACTACAACTACTGAAATTCAGCTAACCTCACTCAGGGCCTAATAACAATACTAGGCAAGACAATTTCCCTGCATCATATCCACAACTTTCATGTCTACATGTTATGGAGAGTGAGTGACAATGCGGAGACCAAAAATATTTATACATCTTGACTCAGGACCTCGCGAAGTGCCATGCGTCTGACTCCGTTTTCCGTAAACATTTCATAAAGTCACGATCGTGCGCAGTCAATGTTCATTTTGTTTTCGTTGAGCAAGAAAAGGGGCGCATTATAAATATGCATTTATTATTATTAAAAGGAGCCAGCGGGTCTGTTTGTAATCGGAATATGTGCAGACATCGGATTGGTCAGAAGGAAAACTCGTGACGTCAGAGGTCAGAGGTCAGACAGCGGCACCATCGAAACGTCCATATTGTTGTTGAGGTTTCGAAAGTTATTTATCATCTAATATCAAAGGGACCTATTAACCGCTGAACCATGCGTAATGCAACCTTTGGGAAGACGCTCATTATATCGTAGTAAAAGAACTAAACGTTGCAATATGTGCATAGCTGTCAGAAGAAGACAATCAACGTCACTGCATCAGACAAAGGAGGAAAGATCACAAGACGTCCTGTGAAGGACACACTTCACTCAGCTGACCTCTGGTCGCCATACATGGTCACTAGATAATACAAATATTCATTTGCATTTGGATCAAAGATTATGCTAATTCTACAGCCACTTCTGTATCATCTTTAACTGCGTCTTCAGATTGCTAATCTATTCACGACCACTGACACGGGAAATAGAGGAAAAGAGAGAGGGGGGAGGAATAAGAGGAGCTGGGGGAAAAGAGAAGGAGGAAAAAAGTGGGAATGAGGGGGAGTGTGGGTTAGCAAGGTGGAAGAAAGAGGGGAGTAGAAGAAGGTGGTCTTAAGGAGGGTAGACGAAAAGACGGGGTTTAGTGCCTCTAAAACATGACATGCAGTATATATATTATTACCAGTGTGTTTACAATGTTTTTTTGGTTAGAGAAATTGCTTCCTGTTTGAAAAAATAATCCACACTCCCATGGCATATGCGCTAAAAAAACATAACATTACTTGCATTATCACGTCTAAAATTCGACGTTTCACACGCTAGGTAATTACCAAGATTCTGTGCCCACGAAGTGCTGCTTTTAGTGCCTACTTCCTCGGACAGCCAAAACGGACATCCACCATTACTGGAAATGGGAAAGGAGAGAGACGCATACGTGGGTAAAATTAGCAAATTACTGTAATCTGAAGTTTCTCATTGTAAGATCTGTCCTCGAAATACGCAATAATACGATATCTAATCAAAGCACATTGGAGAAGAAAGTCACTAAAATGTTGTCTCCATATACCTTGCTTTTTCTTTTGTTGCCATGCGACCCTTTAAACTTGCTAACTATTATATGAAGCTTAGCGTACCGCCAGTGACATTAAAGCAATATTCTGGTCGGCTAATATAGTCCAAGTTTTTCTTTGTATACACAGGGTATATGGACTTCGTGTTAAGATTCGCCATTCCAAGCTTCATTCTAATGTACTTGTTAAATGTCAGGTATAGGAAGACCCATGTAAATATTTTTGGACATTTTTTTAACAATGCTTCTAAATTAGGCGTATTAACTATCATTTAAGATCAATAACGAAACATTAACCTGAGTATTTATGACGAAAATATGATCGATTATGGCGTATTGTGAAGCCTTAATTTGAAATTTATTAATTACTTGTTTTTCTCAAATAGTTTAGCTTACGTGGGAAACGTTAGATTTGGTTCGCGTTTTACAGATTCGTTTAGTTTTGAACGCTTGAGTACAACCGTGAGTGCTGGTTCATTTGTGACCAGGACAGGTTTAATTCCAGAACGATCAGTTTCAGTGGATGCGGCTGCTGATTAAAAAGACTATTTCAAGACACTGAAGGTTCAAAAGCACCGACCGATTGACACGTGGGCTTCGGCAACAGTGTTTTTATACGTGTTTTTGTCCAAGTGCCGTTTTGGAAATTGTCAAAGCATTAGTGGGAAAAATATCCCAATAACCATTCGGTTGTTGGGTTTTAGAGTTCATTAAGAATCGTAATGACACGTCCGTGAACGCTTTCGCATGACAAATAATTAATGTGTCAATTTTTACGCTTTTCAAAATTTCATATTATGTGCAGCATGTGTGCGCGATCTAAGTGATTTGGTTGTTGTGAACTTGCATAATACGAACTCCCGTTAATCTGAACAATACTGTTACGAGCAGAATCGGTTTGTTAAATACATTTTCTGATCGGTGTGGGAGTGCAGATGTCGATATCCATTATAGAAAATAACTGGGATGTTGATTTTTCCCCTCGTCTTGGTAGCTGCGAGTTGTTTCATTCATGTCATACCAAAGCCTCAATATAGTGCACTCTCTTGAATCCAAAGGGCGGTATAGGAATGATAATAGTATAGCTTGATCCCTCATATGTGAGGTATTGATAGGTAGCACCTTTTTTCGTCACGAGTGTGAGAGTTGGGTTCAGTATCGCACAGAACATAATTTCACCATCCCCACTGTGTAGCATTTTACTTTGGAAGTGTCCGTTGTTCACCAAATGAGGGCGGTTGGGTAGCCTTGTGGTTAAGGCTTTCTGCGCAACGCTGAAGGCCCGGGTTCGATTCCCCACATGGGTGCAATGTGTAAAGCCCATTTCTGATATTGCTGGAATATTGCAAAAAGCGGCGTAAAACCTTACTCACTCAATGTTTACCAAATAATGAATGAGTGAGTTTGGTTTTACGCCGTCCTCAGCAATATTCGAACTATATACCAAATAAACCCATGAGGACGGCTGAAGTGCTGACAAGCCATTGAGTATAATTCAGGCGATGAGACTGGAACCACGGTTCTAACATAGCAAATGTATGGCGAATAGCAGCGTATAAGATTTCTGTACCTATAGTGTCATCACCCTTCTTATTGAGCATTTACTATTGAAAATCAGTTAAAGAACGTCCGATTATATATTTAACAATGGTTAATCTGTCCTGTCGTAACAAATTAACGACAGTCCTAGGAAAGTATTTAACTTCATTTGAGGGTTAAATGTCTGGAAGTGACCATGAGCTGAGTGAGTGAGTGATGGAAAGAGCACATGTGTGTAACGTTTACCGAAAAGGAACATAACACATCTTTTGGACAACCTAAGTAAGTTTAGTTTTACGCCGCACTCAGCAATATTCCAGCTATATGGCGGCGGTCTGTAAATATTCGAGCCTGGACCAGACAATCCAGTGATCAACAGCATGAGCATCGATCTGCGCAATTGGGAACCGATGACATGTGTCAACCAAGTCAGCCAGCCTGACCACCTGATGCCCCGTTAGTCGCCTCTTACGACAAGCATGGGCTACTGAAGGTTCATTCTATCCCGGATCTCCACGGGTTTTGACAACCTAAGGATCATAATCTAGACGAATCTGGGATTCCACTTCCTTCCCATATAAATTATATATAACTGTTTAAAGTAAGACTTAGATGTAACATATGTTATACTTGGGATTGCACTTTCTCCATAAAATACACATTTTAGTACTTTTGTTAGGTTGAGTCCCAGTCACCTACTCGCCAGCACACAAAGTCAGCTATCTAACCCACTGAGCCATCGCATTTTCCACAAAAATGAAAGTCGGACAACTGGTAGTCTAGATCACGTACTGAGTGTACCCCTCTGACAAATGTTATTGGCACGACTCCCATGGCAGAAAGCTGAGTGAGAGCACCCTTTAACCACTAGGCTACCCCAAGCCATTAGAGTAAGGAGTGAGTGAGTGAGTTTAGTTTTACGCCGCACTCAGCAATATTCCAGCTATATGGCGGCGATCTGTAAATGATCAAGTCTGGACTAGACAATCCAGTGATCAACAGCATGAGCATCGATCTGCGCAATTGGGAACCGATGACATGTGTCAACCAAGTCAGCGAACCCGACCACCCGATCCCGTTAGTCGCCTCATACGACAAGCATGGGTTACTGAAGATCAATATTCTAACCCGGACCTTCACGGGTTGAGAGTATCCTTAGGATGAATTAATACCGCGTTTATCTGATCAGCGATATCATCGAAACAAAAGCCATATCAATCCTTTGATGAATTCCAACCGGATCTGTGGTTTGACGAAACAAGTTTCCTGACAAAGTCTGTCCTGACATGACATTGTACAAGTAGAACCAAAAAATGACAAATAGTTTTAAAAAGATTGGCAGAAACAGGGATATTATGAATATCATGTGACCAATATTCTGCGACCAATTCATGTATTTTTCAAAATATTGTTTGTGTGTGTTTTCTGCAAAACACGCGGCATGTGTATTTCCGAACATTATTACAACAAGCTTCCCCTTCACACAATACGTTTATTCGTTTTACATCAACCAACTGTACATCCGGTTTATGGAACAGTACACTAATTACCACGCATTATAACAACATTTCCGCAAATATAGCGATAATGTGTCCCAAACACATCGTGTGTTCAAACATTATCAACATACACGCGCACGTTACATGTCTTTGATGTAAACATTTTCACCGACGCCTATGCATGTTCTTCAAGCATGAGAGATGCAATTTATAACACACAACTGCAAATAGCCCAAAACAATATTCAAAACGATTGTCTCCGCCAAAACTAATTTGTTCTTTGGCTTTTAACAATTTTGCCCCCTGTCACCTTCCTGGAAAGACAGTTCTTTTGAGATCAGTGACAAATAGTGCCACGTGCATCCAATAACGCCCAGCGCTTTCTTCCGCTGCACAAAGTGGCGGAAGTGACGTGCAGGTATTATTACGCCACGATAGAGTATTGCTACCGCGGCCTTTCAATTGCTAAGAAAACGCGCCTTCCGGTGGGTAATATTGGCGGCGTATTATCGGTTAATAAAGACTTATTGAGTGGGAATTATTTGTTGGGAACAATGAGAAAATCAGACTCCGTACCATAGCAATGCCTGCATAATTACCTGAATGTGGTCTTTTGACAACCACCTCACGATTTCCTTGTTTAGGGTAGTAATAGAGTCTATTGATCTGACAGGTAGGAATGACAGTCTGGTTGATAGGTGACTGGATGCTGAGTGTATGAGTTCCCAACTTGCTACAACACTGATGTAAAGACGGGTTATTGTGTAGTTAATATTCTCAGAAGTAAGCGTTCTTTACAGGAATACCTCGCAATCAAAAAACTAAACACGATACTTAATGCTAGTTTTTCATGACCTAAATAAGAATGTGAACACGAAGTTGAGCGTGGTTCACGAAAATACAGAACGGATTTGTATTTGATTACGTGGATTTATGATAAAATAGAGGTAGCGTGCATGTTTTGAACGTATGCCACGCGTTTGTGTTATATTTCAGGTAGAGTGAGTGAGTGTGTGAGTGATTATGTGAGTGAAGAGTGAGTGAGCGAGTTGGGTTTAACGCTGATTGTATTACTATCCCAGTATCATGGCGTGTCGGTTTGGTATGGGAAGAAGTCCCCACAGTAAAATGAGTGAGTGAGTGAGTTTGGATTTACGCCGCTTTTAGCAATATTCCAGCAATTCCATGTCGGGGGGACACCAGAAATGGGCTTCACAAATTGTACCCATGTGGGAGATTCGAACCCGGGTCTTTGGCGTGACGAGCGAACGCTTTAACCACTAGGCTACACAACCGCCACTAGCAAGTATAAATACAGACAAACAAAAAATCACGTCAAATTCTGCATGTCCAATATAATTTAATCTGAGATGTACACAGGTACACTGTGTATTCCGTAAAACCAAAATACAATTCCGCTATTACTTCTGAGAAATTGAGCCAGAGTTACTTCTTTATCCTTCTTCGATATCCTTCTTTACGTATTGAATAAGTTGACCAAGTAATGCTCTTTCATCTATACTCCACGCATGGTTGTAAAAGGTCTCTGGATACCGGATTGAAACGGCCAAAGATATTCATTTCTGATAGTATATGTCTCTGAATAAAAGCGATTTATACATAAGTTCGATATTGATGACATTAAGATCCTTTCAAGAATTGATTTGCCGCACGAACACGGGACATTCAGCCCATGCTTGCATCACTGTTTTCCAGTACAGTTCACATAAGGTTATTTGTTGTAAATACGTTCCCAAAATGTCATTATTACAAAGGTTCTTTGATGAGTCAGCTTACAAAGAAGAGTTTTCATTATTTTACTTCTGGGGGGATTTCAAACTCTAAGCAATATTACTGCCAGATTTTACATTTTATATTCGGACTAGACTTGATTTTCAGTAACCCATGCTTAAAAATTCGAAGTAGATGCGATTAAGTGGTTAAGCTCGCTGACAAACCTTATGCATGCAAACATGTCCCGATTCTGTTGACTGATGTTGATGATGTTAATCACTGGAATGTCTAGTCCAGATTCAACTTTCTGTAGACACTTTCATGAACCTGGAATATTGTTGAGTGCAGAGTATAAGTGAGTGAGTGAATTTAGTTTTACGCCGCACTCAGCACTATTTCAGCTATATGGCGGCGGTCTGTAAATATTAGAGCCCGGACCAGACAATCCAGTGATCAGCAGCATGAGCATAGATCTGCGCAATTGGGAACCGATGATATGTGTCAACCAAGTCAATCCAGTGATCCTGACCACCCGATCCCGTTAGTCGCCTCTTACGACAAGCACGGGTCACTGAAGATGAATATTCTAACCCGGACCTTCACGGGTGCAGAGTTTAAAACAAAAGGTATTCTCTATATGTTTTGCGCTTAATAACTGTGAAAGCCGGGAACAGTATCTATTCACTGGAGATATGAATTTGTTATCGTGCTGCTTTAGGCTATGCGATATTTCTAATAAATATTTGCATTATTACCACATCAAGGCACGGGATACAGCAAACGTGATTCATTACGTGAGTGAGTGTGGCTTTAGCAATATTCCAATAATTAATGTGTCAATTTTTACGCTTTTCAAAATTTCATATTATGTGCAGCATGTGTGCGCGATCTAAGTGATTTGGTTGTTGTGAACTTGCATAATACGAACTCCCGTTAATCTGAACAATACTGTTACGAGCAGAATCGGTTTGTTAAATACATTTTCTGATCGGTGTGGGAGTGCAGATGTCGATATCCATTATAGAAAATAACTGGGATGTTGATTTTTCCCCTCGTCTTGGTAGCTGCGAGTTGTTTCATTCATGTCATACCAAAGCCTCAATATAGTGCACTCTCTTGAATCCAAAGGGCGGTATAGGAATGATAATAGTATAGCTTGATCCCTCATATGTGAGGTATTGATAGGTGGCACCTTTTTTCGTCACGAGTGTGAGAGTTGGGTTCAGTATCGCACAGAACATAATTTCACCATCCCCACTGTGTAGCATTTTACTTTGGAAGTGTCCGTTGTTCACCAAATGAGGGCGGTTGGGTAGCCTTGTGGTTAAGGCTTTCTGCGCAACGCTGAAGGCCCGGTTCGATTCCCACATGGGTGCAATGTGTAAAGCCCATTTCTGATATTGCTGGAATATTGCAAAAGCGGCGTAAAACCTTACTCACTCAATGTTTACCAAATAATGAATGAGTGAGTTTGGTTTTACGCCGTCCTCAGCAATATTCGAACTATATACCAAATAAACCCATGAGGACGGCTGAAGTGCTGACAAGCCATTGAGTATAATTCAGGCGATGAGACTGGAACCACGGTTCTAACATAGCAAATGTATGGCGAATAGCAGCGTATAAGATTTCTGTACCTATAGTGTCATCACCCTCCTTATTGAGCATTTACTATTGAAAATCAGTTAAAGAACGTCCGATTATATATTTAACAATGGTTAATCTGTCCTGTCGTAACAAATTAACGACAGTCCTAGGAAAGTATTTAACTTCATTAAAGGGTTAAATGTCTGGAAGTGACCATGAGCTGAGTGAGTGAGTGATGGAAAGAGCACATGTGTGTAACGTTTACCGAAAAGGAACATAACACATCTTTTGGACAACCTAAGTAAGTTTAGTTTTACGCCGCACTCAGCACTATTTCAGCTATATGGCGGCGGTCTGTAAATATTAGAGCCCGGACCAGACAATCCAGTGATCAGCAGCATGAGCATAGATCTGCGCAATTGGGAACCGATGATATGTGTCAACCAAGTCAATCCAGTGATCCTGACCACCCGATCCCGTTAGTCGCCTCTTACGACAAGCATGGGTCACTGAAGATGAATATTCTAACCCGGACCTTCACGGGTGCAGAGTTTAAAACAAAAGGTATTCTCTATATGTTTTGCGCTTAATAACTGTGAAAGCCGGGAACAGTATCTATTCACTGGAGATATGAATTTGTTATCGTGCTGCTTTAGGCTATGCGATATTTCTAATAAATATTTGCATTATTACCACATCAAGGCACGGGATACAGCAAACGTGATTCATTACGTGAGTGAGTGTGGCTTTAGCAATATTCCAGCAATATCACGGCGGGGGACACCAGAAATGAGCTTCACATATTGTACCCATGTGGGGAATCGAACCCGGGTCTTCGGCGTTACGAGCCAACGCTTTAACCACTAGGCTACTCCACCGCCCCTGATTCACTAAGTACTCGTGTCGTGTCATACCATAGGCTAACGAAGCTGTTTTAGTACATGAAATGAAGTAACAAGCAACAACACCAACTTCTACTTCAGCGTCATATAACGTGGGGTTTATTTTTAACACAAAACGTTGTTAAACGTTTTAATGAGGGTTAAAAAAGCACACGATCTGCGGGCATGTTTCTTCCGTGTTACCAATTAATCCGTATCATTGGGGGATTGCTATATGCAGCCCCACGCCGCCAAACTTCTTTTGATTTAAACAGCTCTGATCTCTATAGTTACGTGGGATGGACGTATTTTTAGACATTTTAAACAAAGAATCTTCATCCTCAAGTGTTAGCGACAACATTTGAAACGACAAGTACCTTAAGAATCGACCGATACAATATTTTTGAAAAGTGTGCTGATTGTTTTGGTAGGATTTCTGGCCCTGGGTGTAGAAATACGAGGTCAACACAACACTGAGGATGGAGAAATCGGAGGATTATATTAGTGGCTGGTAAGGCAACCTCACATTTTCGTGTTCTGCTGAAACACAAGGTTGCGTGAAAGCGATACGAATATGGGAAGGTGAAAAACGTAGATCGGGTAGAGGGGAAGAATCAGAGATGCGATGGGAAAATTTAAGAAGACAGGAAACGAAGCGAAATCGCAGACACGCGACGCGTAAAGGAGAAGAAGAAGAAAAGGAGGAAAAGAAGCAACAGAGACGCGATGCGAAGACACGATGCGGCGACGACAGGAAACGAAACGAAATTGCGAACAAGCTACGCGTAGAGGAGAAGAAGAAGAAAATGAAGAAGAAGAAGACGAGAGCAGGAAGCAGAGACACGAAGCGAAGACGCGATGCGAAGACGTTAAGATGCGGAAAGTTATGCGAAGAAGACAGGAAACGATGCGAAATCGCGAAGAAGCGAACACGCGAAATAACCATACAAAGACGCGTTGCGAAATCGCGAAGAAGCGAACACACGAAATAGCCATACAAAGACGCGTCGCGAAATCGCGAAGAAGCGAACACACGAAATAGCCATACAAAGACGCTTTGCGAAATCTCGAACACGCGAAATAGCCATACAAAGACGCGCTGCGAAATCGCGAAGAAGCGAAGGCACGATATTAAAAGAACGCAACGTGAACCATAGCATCCAGTCGTAATCACACCTTCGCACAGCATCTTGGCGTCTTCGTGTCGTATTTCGGCTTACGCTAAGATGCGAAATGGCAAAAGTCAGCTCCCGTAGATTATTGACGCCGATAAAGAAACATGTAAATCCTTCCCCAACTTGTCTGTGAAGTGCTTATCGGTAAACAGTAAACAACTGTCTCTCGCCATATGCTTGGTTAATAGCCTGTCTTCTAGCCCTCCCACGCCCCGATAATCGGCAGTAAATTGGCTTTAATAATTGAATAGGAGGTATTTAATTACACCTCCTAGACTCCAAAGTCTTAGAAGAAACTGTAAACAGTTGGCGATAAACATTCTGCACTAAAAATCAATGGCTGTTTAGCATATTAGAACATAAGTTGGCATTGGTTCGATTAGAAATAAACAGTTTTACCTTTCTCAGTGTTTGATGTTTGTTTAAAAGCATTGATTAAGAATAGTCAGCGCAATACAAAGCCCGTGTTGACATCGCTAGAATCACAAACATGTATATTACATTTGTCTCCAGCTGTGAAATAGACACGCATGTTGTTTTTCACAGTTTAAGTTTTTCTCACAGTGAAAGTAACACTTTACGTCATTTCAGGGTCGTTCAAATATTCAAATCTCGCATTTAAAATTTGAAGTTTCATTTTCAATGTACTCATGGGACATTTCTTCAAGCTAAATGGAATGTCTGAGTCATTTCTATAATTAGAATTTTGAAACGTTATTAGGTTTGTTATAAATTGACGCAGTCTGGAAACGATGGCACGCAATGAACTTGGTAACGTTTTGTATGAGTAAGTTAGTGAGTTTAATTTTCCGCCGCACTCAGCAATAGTCCAGCTATATGGCGGCGGTCTGTAAATAATCGTGTCTGGATCAGAAAATCCAGTGATCAACATTACGAGTATCTACGCTATTGGGATACGATGACATGTGTCGACCAGGTCAGCTAGCCTGAGCAAATACTCATTTGTTTAAGGGCAGTTGCGAAAAAATACGGTATTTATAGTTGAGGTAAAATATATGTCACGTAACCATGTTTCTTTTCAGACATGTAAAACACTGAAATATTGCATAAACTATTTCAATAAATAAGAGAATCGATTCCAAAATGTTCAACATTAAGGTAAGCGTCCATTTTTATCTCATTGAAAATGACATTTCTTAGCTGGTTTCATCATGATTGCGCTGTGCAAAGAAACATACGTATTCGCTAAAAATAAATTATTTTCAATACATCTTGGGATTAATTAAAAGCGTGTTGGAACCGTTTACGCAAGATCAGCCCTTGAAATGTTCAGTAGAAGGATATTTGACCCTGGGGGCAAGTCGTTTTAGTGTGACGTCATGAGCATACGTGTCCGTACATGAAAGAATCTATTGTGTTAATAGTTGTGTTAACAATATGCTTGAAATAGTAATCAAATATATCAACAATATATATAATAATTTTAGCTGATGCTAAATAAAATGCTCTGAAAAATGTCAGTACTTAGCATGAATCTGTTACTCACTTACACGCATGGGAAGGTTCCCATCCAGTCCAATCCCTTCACATAGTCAGACACTGCAAGAGGGAACTAACGGGATCGGATAGTCGGACTCGCTGTCTTTTTAAATATTTTTTTTATTCATTCCCATAGTTTCCACAGAAACAAACATACGGAAATAACAGAAGTGAGTGAGTGAGTGAGCAATATCAAAAGACTCGCTGACTTGGTTGTTGCATGTCAAAGTATCCCAAATGCGTTGAATGATATCAATCAGTGGATTGTCTGGTCCTGGCGTGATCTACAGACTGTTGTATTGCTCCAGTATTACTCAGTGTGGCGTTAAACAAACACACATACAAAACAGAACCATACAAACAGGAGTATGACGTAAATAAAATCAATACAAAACATCCTTTTCTAAATGCATTTATATTACAGTTTAATCAGAGATACTTATTCCATGATTGACATTATCATGAACTTCGTGTCAAATTTCGAAACGACAAAATAGATTTAATGAACTTCAACATGATCTTGGCTCTTGTCGGTGATCCGCAGACCATTCCTTATAAAGAAAACTCGATAAAAGCTGTTAATTATGGTGGCTGATTAGGGCCATCGCTTTCTCGCCTTAAAATTCGGAGGCCAGAAAGCGAGAAAGCGATATATCGAGACGAGAAAGTGATAACACGAGACGATAATCAGCCACCATAGTTATGTAAATTCATAAGTTCATGTAAAAATACATTGCAAATATATTACCCAAAAGAAGTTAAAGTAAATCTGATTTGATCATATGACTATAGTATTGCAACACACAGCCTTCAGAACTGTGAGTGTTGTTACTTTTTCGAGTAGTATTAAAATGTGAAATTTACACGTGGAAATGTAGTTACATTACGTGTACAGTAATGACGTTATTCGAGGCTGAGCTTGGCGGTGCAAGGTTCAATTTGCGGTTTGACTTAGGATCCCGTGAGTCAGCCTTAGTGAGAATCATATAAGGAAATTGACTGTAATGCCGACCTAATTCCTTGCATTACTCGGTGCCTCCAACCTTTACCAATTATTTCAATTTTCCTTTTAGAAAGGACTGGCGTCACTTGAGTCAATTTTATCGACCTTTAACTGAAACCGTTTTTTGTTGTTGTTTTTTTTACAAAAGAGGGATTGAGTGGTTTGTCGAGTACTGTTGAAGAGTGTCAGAACCGACGGTACAAGAGAACAGTTCACATATGACAGATGGATGCTGTTTCTGAATACAATATATTCAGACATACCAAGGAGTGAGTGAGCTTAGTTTTACACCGCCTTTAGCAAACTTAATCAACTATGCCATGTTTACTCAATTGGCTATCCGTGGGATCTTGGAGTATCGAAGAACCAAAACACCGCTGCTGGTCTGAGGAGTGAGTGAGTGAGTTTAGTTTTACGCCGGTTTTAGCAATATTCCACCAGAGGGGGACACCAGAGATGTCCTTCACGCATTGTACCCATGTGGGAAATCGAACTCGGGTCTTCGGCGTGACGCTTTAACCACTAGGCTACCCCACTGCCCCGACATGCCCAGGGAAATAAGCAGAGAGAAACAAAATGTGTCAATGTATACCATAATTTAGTTGCTCTGTCGTTGTTCTTTGGTGGACCTGTTTTGTTTTGTGGATGGCTGGTGCTACCTGTTGGGCAGGACTTGCTTACCCTTGTCGCGAACACCTGGTGTCATCACTGATTTTCAGTGACCCATTCATATATTTTTCACAACTATATGTCCCTTTACACCAAACGGAATTATTCATGAGTGAGTGAATGAGTTAATATTTAACGTCACATCGGCAATATCTCAGCCATATCGTGACGAAGAATTATTCATGACGACTGCCAAGCGTTGGTATTCTTTTGCATTGACGTTCTATATTTAATCCTACATATTTTGATGAACCGCATTGCACAATAGTTAATAGTTGTGAAGACATTTTCCTATATAGACAGGTGGGGATGTGACTAATATATCAACTACAACCGTCAGCAAACAATGGCGCTGGAAAGTTAAACACTGATTTTAATCATAAAACGCCAGCTTTAAATATCGTGGATGTTAAATGTTATTACCCGAATATCGGTCATCAAAAATCAAATTCAACTTGAAAAACACCAACTCTGTCCATAAACATTGTAAAAACGTCTGATTAAAACGGTCCTTGATCGATTAAACATCCGTCAGTTGTCGTCCATCTTTGTATCTCATCATGAGGCTCCTGAGCGTTGTGTCCATGCGAGATAATGACATAGACCGGGGTTGATGCCCTGGTCACCAGTGGGTGTGGTTACATCACTTCAAAGCTTTACCCTCATCCCCTGGGTACATGACAATTACAGGCATATCACTAATCGATGGACGAGATAATCTAAAGGTGATGTGCCTCCTACCAGCCTTGATCCTGTCACCGGAAGTCAATTATTTCTCGTTGCAAACACGTTGTTAACAAATCTCGCGAGAATTGGCAATATCAAATTTAAACGAATTTAATGATGACGAATAAAAGGCCAAGGCCTTTGGCAGCTGAAACATTATTTTCATTCCGATATGCTTAATTATACATTTTTACCGAATACAAGTCTATTGAATAACAGGTTTCAACCATCCAGCGAAACGGATCCCACTGTTTGTAAAAGGCAACACAGAGGTGAACATCATATGAATGGATTCTTCAGCATCCGTGGCGACACCGGGTTTTAGAGGAAATGGAAAGCATGTCTACCCCAAGCATTCTACGCTAAAGTAAAGTGTCTGGCGGGTGCAACATCACTCCTTCGGGCTGTGAACAAACCAGACAATCAAGTGATTTAGTAAATTTACTCATTTTTAAAGCTTAAAACGATATGTTTGGTTTGAATCTACTCTCAGATAGTAGACTTAAGAACGGGTTAATTTTTTAATCTCCCTTTGTCTTTCACAAATCAGTGTTTAATCACCCTCACGCACTTTTAACGCCTGGATATACTGCTGGATTCTATTTGTTCAATAGTATCACCTGTCGGCGTCAATTATCCACTGGTTTGTCTTCTTAAGTGTCCACCTTTGTTATCTATCACTGTTCTTGTTTTACGTGCCCATGTATAACTTCAGTGTATGAAATAAGGCCCGTCCGACCGACCGAGATTTCTGACGGACGTTCCAAATATACAGCTAGCCAGCCCGATGGTCTGGTAAAAAGTTTAGATGTTCCATACATCTGAGTAAATTCACCATATTTGGTCTGGTTAAATGCATTTTGGGCTGGTAACATTTTGAAGTTACCAGCCCTGATGTCTGGCTGGATATTTGGCTTATTTCATACACTGATATAACTATATGATTCTGAGCTTTCATTAGAATATACTCTGAAACGACGTTCCACATATTCCAGGACATCCATACATTTCCACGTTTATGTGTATCACTTCGTAATGCAATTCAAAAATTAAAGTAATGCGTATCCGTAAAGTATCCGTTTAAGTTATTCTGTGGTCACTTTACTCAATTTTGAGTTAATTTGGAGTTTTAACTGTACCAGACATTGCTTCTAAACAATGAAACAGATCTCACCTTAGTCCAAGCTACATTGAAATTGTTCCTAGACTCGTTCTCTGCGCTGCTGGAGGGCGATGAGATATCGTTGTGGAGATTCGCTGTGAAGCGTGATGTACATAAAACTAAAGACACTTGTCATAAAACAATACATTTGCCTATCCTTTGTCTGATATGAACAATAGAATATGAGGTGTGATCTGTTGTCTGAACCCTGATGTGTCACGTCCACGTCCATGTGCATGCACTATGCAGTCTGAAATATACACGAGCATTAATCAAGCACTATCTATTTTTTATATACATGTATAATTACGTACATGTTGTATTTGCTTTGAAAACCAAATTCCACGTATTAAAATTGTAACTGTAAAATTTTGCTCTGATTAAAACAAAAACAAAACTGAAATTGTAATTTGGTAACAATTTACTTTCAATCACTTATTCACCAAACATGAATATCAACAATGCCGGAAAGTATGGTCACCATGACTATGCCACCAGTCTGATTGTCAAACAGTTCTCAAATAACGATTCTTGTGATTGTATGTGTAGCAACCAGTCGCATAGATAACATCTGCCAGTTTCCTCTTCATATTTGCAATCAAGCGTCGAATTCTCAGCATCGGAATTCCTTGCCATTCACCCTGGAGTGCCTGTGTGAATTCCTGCAGGCTCTGAACAAGAGTATCTCTAGCAGTCCAAGATTGTCCCAAAGATGTTCGACTGGGTTCATATCGTGGGTCCTTGGTAATGTTCCAATGACGTTGTTTTTTAAAATGGGCGATGACAGCTCAAGAACGGCGAGGTCTTGCGTTGCCATGCATGGATTTTGGACGACAGGCAATGTGACGGTTATGAAAATGTGGCACGACGGCGGTATCTAGTATTTCCTGTTGATGACGTTGACCATTGCGTGTCTCTGGTTCTGTAATGAGATCCAACTTGCAGTCATAAGAAACGCAACACAACACCCTCACTGAGCCACCACCATAGGGTTCATCAGCATGGGAACGCCTCCGTGGTGTAGTGGTTACAGCGTCCGCCCGGAGAGCGGAAGGTCGCGGGTTTGATCCCCGACCGCGTCATACCAAAAGACGTTAAAATATGGTACTTGTTGGTCCCTGCCTGGCGCTCGGCATTAATGGGTACAACAAGGACTGGTCGGCCCGGAGTCAGTATAATGTGTCTGAGTGGGGTATTCATGCTTCACTGCGGCATGGTATTTCAGTGGGCTAGCACTATAAAACCAGCTTACGTCTGGGCTAGTACATGCAGCCACACATACACATACACACGCATGCACGTCGTCATATGAGCGAAATATTCTCAAGCACGACGTAAAACCCAATTTCACCTCACCTCGCCTCACCTCACCTCACCTCACCTCACCTCACCTCATCAGCATGGACCATCTGTCTCTCGATGACGACTTTTATCAAATCAATGAACCCAACATCTCGCCAAATGTTCCTACCTGTGGCTATCTGTGAGAATGTACCTTCGCTTAACATGAACTTGCGACCAATAGCTTTGGAGATATTGTTTTAAGCACGTGTTTTACATGTCCTGTTTGGACCAAAGGTGTAAACAAATTGCCTTTGGATTCAGGTGGTGCTTAATTTATGCTCACATGTATATGTACGAATATACATGGCTCGAGCTAAGCTGATGTGATGTGGTGGTACATATGAAACTCGGTTCATAAGGTTCGAAAACTAATATATGAAGTTGGAACTTTGGTGTATAGGGTGCAAACTGTGTTATTTAAAGTTCCACGCCGTGTGTGTGAGATGTGAACCCTGGTATATGAAGGTCGAACCCAGGTTTTTCTGTTTGAACCCTTGTATATGAGATTTAAACAATCGTATTTAAAATTTAAACTCGAGTTTGTGAACACATTTAAACCCAGGTTTGTTTAATTCGATCCGGTTACCATGACATTCCGTCCGGCCTCATCCTCTAATGACTTGGTGTTGTCATCATCTCACTCAGTGTCAGATGGATACTATACTCAAAGTTATACACATTTTGCTGTGAACTCATTAAGTGTACACACTAGAGCTTCAACGTCTGCAACGACAAACTGGTAAGTCTCCGTGTGTTGTAGTTTACTCTGTGCTGCCTCTGTGATGAATCAGATCTTCATGTCTTGACATTTTCCAATGGACGCTTGTTTCTGGAGACAAACAATTCCAAACGCTTTAAAAGATTTCAAAGATTATTTCAAAGAACGTCATGATTAAAGTCGATGCTTTGAAACCCGTAATCCTGAGTTTCTGCCGTGTTTGTCTGTAAATAGATGTTTGTTTGTTTACGTTCACGTATGTGGCAGACATAGCAGAGCCAGCGGCAAAGGCAGCAGAGTCAGAGCAGTGTCACACAAACATGGCAGTCACAACAGAGACAAAGCCATGGCAGTCATGACATTGTCATAGCAGAGTCATAGAATGGTCATGTTTCAGTTACACCAGTCGTAGTTATAGCACAGTCACAGCACAGTAATACAACAGTTATAGCACTGCCGTGGCACAGACATACTGCGTCATACCACTGTCATACATAGTTCGGTTAGACCACAGTCATACCACAGCTATAACATAGTTATACCACAGTCACACCATAGTCATGGTTATAACATAGTCATACTACGTCATACCACAGTCATAGCGCGGTTAGACCACAGTGATAACATAGTTATACCATAGTCATGGTTATAACACAGTCATACTACGTCATACCACAGTCATAGCACGGTTAGACCACAGTTATAACATAGTTATACCACAGTCTCACCACAGTCATGGTTACAACACAGTCATACTACGTCATACCACAATCATAGCACGGTTAGACCACAGTGATAACATAGTTATACCATAGTCATGGTTATAACACAGTCATACTACGTCATACCACAGTCAGCACGGTTAGACCACAGTTATTACATAGTTATGCCACAGTCACACCACAGTCATGGTTATAACACAGTCATACTACGTCATACCACAGTCATAGCACGGTTAGACCACAGTTATAACATAGTTATACCACAGTCACACCACAGTCATACTACGTCATACCACAGTCATAGCACGGTTAGACCACAGTTATAACATAGTTATACCACAGTCACAGTCACAGAACAGTCACACCACAGACGTAGAACAGTTATACCACAACAAACCTAGCACACTTCGGACAAAGTTCTAAAAAAATCATTTCCGTTCCCTAACAATGATGACAACATCATAGCTCAGTATCTCACTGATTGGACAATAATTATTTGCAATCTTCATATTGTTAATATATTTTGGAAAAAAGGAGAGTCATGTCTTTGCTAATATCCAGGATGCATCCACAAACTGAAATCAAAGATACTAATGTGTCTAGTTCAGTTGCGTACCTCGAAATACAAGGAAACATTCAAGGACGTCGACTACAATTTGTACAAGAAAGCGGTGATCGTCAATGTCACACCTCGCAAGTAGTGATGCAAGATAAACAAACGTTACATCTCTAAACTGTTACTGATGTTGGAACCTGTAAATACAAACTACACTTTCGATGAGCCAATGCAACCACTGGCCTTAAAAAAGGCAAAATAGTGGGGAAAATTATATTTATCAATCAGTGAAAAACAGTGATGGCACGTGGAATTCACTTCAAGATTCTGAATCTTCGAAAAGCCTTTCCTAAATCTATCTCTACGTTCTCCCTTACACAATACTAGGACGTAAGGGATGGAAGAATATAATTTATCTTAAATTAGCATAAACATTATCATACTTAGCAGTACAAATAAACCAGAGCTGCCCACGAGAAATTCATCGACCAAATGAAAGGTGCCAGGTCTTCATAATCAAAATCAATCTATAACCGATCGATCAGCTGTCACACAAATTCATCAAAGGCAAGTGGACCTATTGTCAATAGCGTCCCCTGCCGTGCTCCGCTCCCTGACCAGGTGAAGGCCTGCGTGGGGCTATTGTTCCCTGAAATTGGAGGACTATTTTACAGCCGGGTTGTAGTCATAAATTCTCAATCCCACCAGAATTCATATGACGGACAAAAATATATTACAGCACCATCACTCTAAGAACGATTCATTGGAAGATCTGACGGACCGCCATTACGGCGTAATAAAGATTCACGACGAAAAACGTCCATGGTTAGTTTTATCTCGTGTCGGAGTAATAGGGTTGTCTAGAGATTCGCTTATGTTTTCCGACATCTAGGATCTTTACATTGAGGATCATCTTGTTTTATTGCATAGGGTATTAAACATGAAAGAATTATTACAGCGTTTGTGGCAATGACGTAACAACCGTAACGTCAGTCCGATGACGTAGGAAGCGTCTTTCCGATGTAGTTCTACCAGTAATCGAGTAGCAGAGTTGGGTTTAGTATCGCTTAACAGTATTTAAATAAAAAATAAGTTAAAAATAAGTTTTAAAAAAAAATCCCAAATGATACAAATCGTACATCGTACAAATGAAGTCATCGTATCGGATCCTCTAAGGGACGCAATTCTTGTATTTGTCTTGGGACCCGTGTCCATCCACTAATACATTCAAACTCATCAAACATATAGATGCAAACACGACGTAAATAAGCTGCTGAATCGAGAAAAACTGAGGTTAATCGATGCTTACATGTATCATTAATCTGATTTCCTGAAAAAAAGTCTGTCCAACTCTATTTTCAGACTCTGGACTGGTACAATCCCGA